TATGGATTCTCTGGGCTGTGAGATTCCATCGGGGAAGTGCACGAACGTCATTTGATCATTTGTCCATCCTCCTCTTGAAGGACTTCGGGTTGTTTGCTGCTTTTGTCTTGAACGGGCTGCTGTGAACGTTAGCACGTGCCTCCTGCGGACATCTGTCCCTGCGTGTCTGCACCCCCCCGAGATGGGCTGCCGCGTCCTGGGCATGTACCTACAGTTCGGTAGATGCTGCCAACTCCGATGCCGACCAGCACTCCTCCTCAGTGTTAGCACTGGCATTGCGTTTTACTTTTTCCAGCCTGGAGTAACGGTATTTCAGTGTTTTTCCTTTGTTTTCAAAATCAGCTCAACGAAGGTGTAAGTGGTGGTGTGCTGGCGCTGGCTTGTTCCACTGCACAAGATCCAGCCATCCACATCCTCCTGGCTCTGTGTTGAGCGGTGACACTCTACAGCTTGAGTCAGACTCAGTGGGAGTACTTCCATCACAGACATTAAAAAGACACTGCAAGTCAGGGCTTTAGCCAGAGTCAGTTATAATACACATAAAGTAAAATGTGATCAGCTTGGTGGTTTTTGACAAATGTGTACACCAATGTATTTACCACACAAGAGAGAAGAACATTTCCAGCCCCTCCCCCGATGTTCCCTTGTTCTAGGTCCCAGTCAGTTCCTCCCCAGCCCCAGGTAACCAAGGGCCGGTTTTCTGTCACTGTAGTTGAGACTGTTTCCCTCCTAGAGTTCTGTATAAATGGAATCATATGCTATGTATTATTCTGTCTCTGGATTCATTAGCTAAGCATGTTTTAGAGGTTTACACATGTTGCTATGTGTCAATTAACTTGATCTCTCTCTCTATTTTTTTTTATTGTTTAAAGCAGCAGTCATCAATTGGTGGTCCATGGACCACTGGTGGTCCACGTTGGCAACCATTGGTTTAAAGTATTACGCACATATGTCTCCTTTTCCCTGACTGACATCCCCCCTCCCCCCAATTTGATCTCTTTATTGCTAAGGATAATTTGTTGTGTGGACACAACACAGTGGGATCATCCACTCCCCCGCTGATGGACTCCTAGACAGTTCCGTGTTTTGGCTCTTATGAATAAATCTGCTAGTACCATTGCTTACAGGTCTCTTTGCTTTCATTTCTCTTGGGTAGATACAAAGGAGAAATGGCTGGGTTGAATGGTAGCACATGCTTAATGTTTTCAGAAATGTCAAGCTGCTTTCCAGTGTTGTACTTTGTTATATTATGATCAGTAGTGAACAAGGTTTCCTCTTTCATTTTTTGAAAGTTTATATAGCATGATATAATTTCTTAATTAAATGTTGGCTAGAACTCACCAATCAAGTCATCTTGGCCTGAAATTTTCTTTGTGAGATTTTAAATTATGAATTCAATTTCCTAAATTGTCACAAGGCTAGTTGGGCTTTCTCGCTCTTCATGAGTCAGTTTTAGTAATTTGCATCTTTCGTGGAGTTTTATTTCCATGTCTAGGATGTCAGATCTATTAGAATTGTTGTTCACAATAGTCTCTCTCCTTTCAGTGTTGATAGGATCTGTAGAGATGTCCCTCTTCTCTTCTCAATATTGGTAATTTGTGTTTTCTCTTCTTTTGTTTAATCATTGTAACTGGAGGTTTACCCATTTTATTGATATTTAACTTTCCCCCTCCCCCCAGATTGAGTTTCATTTTGTTCTCTGATGTTTTAGCCCCGAAAGGGTTCTAGTTTTATGCAAAGGCCTTTGGACTCAGTGTGAGTACATCAATCACAGAAATTCAAAAAACATACTACAAATCAGGGGTTTATCCAGAATCATAAGGATAAAGTACTTCTTCCCTTCAGCTTGGGATGCACCATTCTGGTTTTAAGCTTCTCTTCTTTTATTGCACCGATTATTCCTTCTTCTTTTTTGTTGTTGTTGTTATTCTTGAAGTTGACATTAACATAAAATTAAGCATTTGAGAAGTGAGTAATCAGCAGCATTTAGTACATCAGTGTTGTATAACCAGCACTTCCATCTAGTTCCAAAGTATTTCATGCCCTCCAAAGGAAACCCTGTGCCCATTAGCAGTTACTCCCCATTCTTATCTCCCCCAGCCTCTGGCAATCACTCATCTTTCCATCCTTATGGATGTACCTATTCTAGGTATTTTGTAGAACCATATAATAGGCAACCTTCCATGTCTGGCTTCTTTTACTGAACATAGTTTTCAAGGTTTACCCACATTGTAGCATGTGTCAATGTTTTATTCCTTTTTGTGGCCGAATAATATTCCATTGCATGGATAGATCACATTCTGTTTATCCATTCACCTATTGGTGGATATTTGGGTTGTTTTGAGTATTTTGAATAATGCTGTTGTGAACAAGTATCTCCTCGAGTTCATATTTTCAATTTTTTGGATGTATACCCAGAAATATTGATGAATCATATGGTAATTCTATGTTTAACTTTCCATTTTCCACAGTGGCTATACCATTTTACATTACCACACACAATGTACAAAGGTTCCAGTTTCTCCACATCTTCGCCAGCACTTGTTATTCTCTATTTAAAAAAAGAAAGCAATCCTGGTGGGTGTGAAGTGGTATCTCATTGTGGTTTTCATGTGCATTCCCCTAATGACTGAGAATGCTGAGCATCTTTTCATGTACTTGTTGGCCATTTGTATGTATTCTTTGGAGAAATGTCTATTCAAGCTCTTTTAAATTGGGATGTTTGTCTTTTTGTTGCTTCATTGTAAGAATTCCTTATATATTGTGAATACTAGACTCTTATAAGATATATGACTTGCAAATATTTTCTCCCATTCTATTGGTTGTCCTTTCTTCATAACATTCTTAGATGCACTAACGTTTTAAATTTTGATGAAGTCTAATTTTTCTTTTGTTTCTCCTGCCTTTGGCATCACATTTAAGGATCCATTGCCAAATACAAGGTCATGAAGATTTACCTATTTCCTTCAAGAGTTTTAATAGTGTTAGTTCTTATGTTTGGGTCTTTTATCCACTTGAGTTAGTTTTTGAATATTGTGTGAGGTAAGGGTTCAACTTCATTCTTTAGTGTTTAGATCCTTCCCCCTCCCCTTCCCCAGCATAATGTATTGAAAAGACTCCTTTCCCCATTGAATCATCTTGGTACTCTTGTCAGAAATAATTTGAGCAAATGTGTGAGGGTTTACTTCTAGGCTTTCCATTTTCTCCCATTGGTCTATATCTGTGGTCGGCAAACTGCAGCTTGTGAGCCACATGCAGCTCTTTGGCACCTTGAGTGTGGCTCTTCCACAAAACACCATGGCCTGGGCCAGTCTATTTTGAAGTGGCGTTGGAAGTTTAAGTTTAAAACATTTGGCTCTCAAAAGAAATTTCAATTGTTGTACTGTTGATATTTGGCTCTGTTGACTAATGAGTTTGCTGACCACTGGTCTATATGCCTGTTCTTATGTCAGTAGCACAGTTTTGATTACTGTAGCTTTGTACCAAGTTTTAAAATCAGGAAGTGTTAGTCCTTCAACTCCCCCCTTCCCTCCCTCCACCAGGATTGTTTTCATTATTTGGGGCCCTTGCAATCCCATATGAACTTGAAGACTGTCTGTTTCTATTTCTACAAAAAGCCATTGGAATTTAGATAGTTTCATTCACTTTGTAGACCACTTTGGGTAGTGTCATCTGAACAGTATTAACTCATCCAACACATGAACACAGATGCCTCTCCATTTATTTAGATTATTTTAAACTTCTTTTGCAATGTTTTGTAGTTTTTAAGAGTACAGTCTTTCACCTCCTTGGTTAGATTTATTCCTAGGTATTTTATTCTTTTGGGTGCTATTGTGAGTGAAATTGTTTCCTTAGTTTCCTTTTGTGATTGTTCATTGCTGGAATATAGAAACACATCTGATTTTTGTGCGTTGATCTTGTACTTTTCAACTTTGCTGAATTAGTTTATTAACTAATGTGTTTTTGTGGATCACTGGAACTTTCTCTGGTCATTCACTACATAATGATGGACCAAATGTATGACGGTGGTCCCAAGTTTATAATGGAGACAAAAAATTCCTATCACCTGGATGTCATGTGTGACACCATACTGTTTGTGGTGATGACAGGATATAAAAGTATGGCAAAAACAATTATGTTAGATAGATAATACTTGGTAATAATGACTATGTTCCTGGTTTATGTACTTACTATAATATATATTTCATCATTAGAGTCTATTCTTTTGACATAAAACAAAAAATTGGCTGGCCCTAGCTGGTTTAGCTCAGTGAATAGAGAGTCAGCCTATGGATTAAAGGGTCCAGGGTTTGATTCCAGTCAAGGTCTCTTTGGTGGCAGGCTCCTCCCCGGCCCAGGTCCTGGTCAGGGCTCATGCAGGAGGCATCCAATTGATGTGTTTCTCTCACAATGATATTTCTGTCTTTCCCTCTCTCTCTCACACACACACACACACATACAACGTTGGCTGGAAAACAGCATACCTCATACACTTTGTCGCCTCTCGAGTGCATCATTTTGTCCTGAGCTTGATTTAATCTCTGGTTACTTTGTATAACATGCTACGCAGATTCGTAGCCTAGGAGCAACAGGTATGTAGTAGGCTGTGCCATTTAGATTTGTGTAAGGGTACTCTGAGATGTAACAAAATCCATGACTGTACATAGGATCATGTCATGTGATTAGAGATAATTTCACTCCTGGTGAATGGCAGTGGGCATCTTTGTCTTGGTCCTGTTCTTTTTCACCATTATGATGTTAGTTGCGGATTTTTCATAAATGCCTTTTTGTTAAGGAGTCCCCTTCTACTCCTAGTTTTATGAGTGATTTTTATTATGAAAGCATGTTGGATTTTGTCAAATGCTTTCTGCATCAATTGAGATGGTTATGTGGCTTCCCCCACTCTGTATTCTGTTAACGTGGTGTTTTGTGTCAATTGATTTTATGTTGAACACTCTGACATTCCTCGGATAGTTCCCACTTGGTCATGGTGTATGACCTTAATATGTTGTTAGATTTGTTTTGCTAGTTCTTTTGTTGAGAATATTTGCATCTATATTATCAAAGGATATTGGTATCTGTCTATCAGGGTAACGCAGGCCTCACAGGATGAGTTATGTGTTCCCTCCTAAGTCTGTGGAGGAGCTTGAGGATTAGTGTTCTTTAAATTCTTGGTAGAAGCCTCAGGCCCAGTATTTTTCTCTGTTGGGAGGTTTTTGGATTATCGATTCAAGCTCATTACACCTTACAGATCCATTCAAAATTTCTGCTTCTTTCGGAGTCACTTTTAGTAGTTTGTGTGTCTAGGAATTTGTCCATCTCATCTAAGTTATCTAATTTGTTGGCACATACTTATTCATAGTACTGTTTTCATTTCTGTATGGTCGGTAGTAATGCCCTCACTTTTAAAAATGTTATCTGCATCTCCTCTCTTTATCAATCAAGTTAAAGACATGCCAATTTTGTTGATCATGTTAGCAGTTTTGAAGTTGGTTGGCTGATATATTGAGTTCCACCTTACCTAGTGGCACTGGAACTGAATCCCTGAGGACGAATGTCTCACCTGAGCAAGGTTGAGGGGAGCACATGCTTGGCCTAAGCAGGTGCCAAAAAATGCACTTTATCACCTTTAAGTGAGTGAAAAACCATCCCAGCAAATGTGACACCAAGAGCCCCTTTGGCTTGGTGAAGGCTCACACACACCCTGCCTCATGTGCCATGGAGCTGTGCCCTGTGCCCCTCGTCTGGTTGCTAGAGCAGGAGGGGAGGCAGGGTGTGAGTCCTCCCTGCACAGGCTGCTGGCTAAGCCTGCTGCTCTGGGTGGGGCTAACGGCCAGCCCAGGGGGCCATCGGAACACAACACTGTCTGATGGGTGATGCCTTGGTGTCTAGAGTCCCGTCTCACATCCTGGCGGAGGCAGTGGCACAGGTGGTCCTCCCTGTGGAACTCTGGCATGTTCCAGGTGCTGTGCTTTCCGTCTGGTGGGGCAGAGATCTCTACCTAGGTGTTTTCAGAGGGGTGAGCGAAAGGGGAAGGATATGCCCCCATTCTCTCTGACTCAGCTGTCTGGAGGTAAGGGGGGGCTAACACCCCGGCCTCATGTCCCTGAACACCTGTCTCCCCCCCCCCCCCCCCGTTCCTTTTGGGCTGACCAAGAAACAGCAGATCCTCGTGAGGCTGGAGAGAGGGCAGTGCCAGGTGGAGCAGATGTGAAGTGTTGGGGCCTTTTTCTGACAGTAGATGGATGGCTTACCCAGAAGACCTGTATTAGTGCCACTGGCACTGGGGCAGCAGGCCCAGATCCCCACCAGCCTAGAGCGTGATCAGGAGCAGCTTGGGCTCCGGTGAGGGCAGGCCTGACACATGGGCAGGTGTGAGGAAAGAAGAGGATGCAGATGTGGCTGAGGTAATGGGCAGTGATCCAGATTCATGCTCAGCAGGTGGGGCTGTGGGAGGGTTCTGAGTGGAGGAAGGGTCTAGTGGACTCCCTCTGATGGGAGGGAGTGGCCGTAGGACAGGCTCCAAAGGCTGGACAGACGTGGGTGGGTGGGGGGCACCGTGTCTCTGGGAGGAGGAGAGGCTGTGGGAGAAACAGGTCTGGTGGTTCCTCCTGGGTCAGAACCGGCCACTGCGCCCTCACAACCTGGACCTGGAGTCACCTGTGATGTGCAGGTGAGCGATGTGTCCTGTCCCAGGATGGGGACAGGGCTGCCTGGTTCCTGAGGGCCTGAGCCAAGGGGCCTCCTATGACACTTGGTCACTGGCTCCAGCCCTGCCCCCACCCAAACATCCCCTCCTGTGTGTGTCTTAGGGGGTTCTGGAGGCTTGGGGGCATGGCCGGATGGGGGCCCAGAGGAGTCCATAGTCAGCAGTGCGGGGTCCTAGGGCTCCCCTGTCCAGCCCCGGTGGTAACAAGCCCGGGAGGGGCTGAGGGGAGGGGTGAACCACCATGGCCCCTGGCAGGGAGGCCTCTGAGGTCGGGTAGGGAGTGTGCAGAACCACCGGAGCCGAGGTACAGGGTCTCTTCAGGCCCCCTGGTGCCCCCACCCATTGGCAGAGCCCCCAGGACGACCCCCCAGGAAGGGCTGCCGGGCTGTGGCTGGCGCTTGGCTGCCGCGGGCAGACTTGCTGGCTCCAGGCTCCCCGTCTGAGGCCCTGTCTGTCCGCTCAGACACAGGGCGCCTGTTCCCTGTGAGCAGGAACACGGCCTCTCTGTTGGCACCTGGGCCGGCCCCCCAGGCGGCAGGGGGCCGCTCCACACAGACCTGTGCTTGTGCCACCTCAGCCAGCCTCCTGGCCGGCACCACCTCTCCGGCACTCTGCAGGACGGCCAGGGCTGGCGGGTGGGGGTGGGCGGGAGGGAGGGGAGGAGGGAAGGCTGCCAGCACCCCTGGCCCCTGGCCCCTGGCCCCTGGCTGAGCGGGGCCGGGGCGGCACCACTGGGTGCCAGCTTATTTGTCTGGCAGGACCCTACCCTGTTCACTCACAACTCACGTCAGGCAGCAAAGATTCTGGGCTGCACCCAGTTCTCACTGCCACGGAGCCCCTGGATTGCCAAGCAAAACATAATTAGTCCACTTTAACTTCTGACAACTGGGCCTCAGAGCCGCTCCGTGGGGACCCTGCCGCCCCAGCACCCAGGCTGGGCCTGCAGCTCTGCTGTCCGCTGCCCGCAGGTCAGCAGCAGGAGGCCATGGTGGGCTGGGGAGACGCGGTCACAGGGGACACGAGGATGCACTTCGCTCACTGTGGGGGGACACAGGGCTCTGGATGCTGGCCTCTGGGGAGGAAGCAGGGCCCAGACCAGCTGTGGGGGGTGTGTGTGTGGAGGGGGGGGGTTGAGGAGGGGTGGGCATGAGGGGGATTGGAAGTCTTGGCTTCTCCCCTCAGTCTGTTCTGGATGTGGTGGGAGCCAACCCCGGGGGGGAAGGTGAGGGGCAGTGGAGGAGAGGCAGGGGGCGAGGACTCCTCACCGCCATACCAGGTGCACACCAGGGGCTTGGCCTGCTGTAGACCAGCAGCCCAGGTGCCTAGGACCCTGAGGGAGCCTCCTGGCCCGGCCATGGCCAATGGGGGAACCGAGCTCCGGGTAGTGGGTGCTGGATCAGCCACAGCTCCCTTGGAACGCCCATGTCTGGGGCCTGTGACAAGGGAGATGACCAGGGTTCCTGGGGACCCACTGTGAGGGATGAGGAAAGCAGACATGGCCACCCACAACCCCAGCAGACCCCCAATGCCACCCCTGGCTTGCTTTCCTGGACATCTGGTGCAGGTGGCGGTGCGGGGGTGCTAATGTCTTCCCACTTTATTTCTCTGCCGGTGCTGGGAACGGCCACTCCCGTGACCTGAAGTAGCCCTTCAGGTTCTGGAGGCTGAGAGGCGGGAAGTAGGGGCCGATCCTCTTCCGGATCCACCACTTGCCATCTGCGGCGTGCAGGCCCCCGGGGCGGCTGAACTTGTACCTGTAGTGCTCTCCCCGGACCCACCTGCAGGGAGAGGACTGTCAGCCTGCAGCTCCCCCAGAGCGGCAGCCTCCAGGGGCCCTGGGCTCAGGGCCCAGGTTCGCACTCAGGAGGGGCTGTGTCTGTCCAGGCGCTCCTGCGTGTGAGAGGCTGCTCAGGGGGCCGGAGGGACCCCTGAGGAGTCCCCATCACCACCAGGCCCTGGCCCAGGGGCCGTGTTTGGCCTCCAGGAAGGCTGAGTGCTGGGTGGCAGCTTCCAGAGCCACCAGGACGGAGGCTGGGACTGGCTATAGAGGGCCCACCCCCTTCCCAGAAGCCTTCCAGCGGGTGAGCGGTGCTAGGAAAGGGGTCGCGGCCCGAGGGCCTATGGATCTTTGCACCTGGCACACTCCCAGGAGTGGGGCTTGGCCCCCAGAACACATTCTGCATTTGGGGGAGCAGCCAGGAGAGGCAGCTGAAGCCACTGTGGGTGGGGTCCCGTCTGGGAGAAGGGTCTTACCTGGGGGGGGCCCTGTCCGCAAAGGGGTTCAGGGCCAGCAGGGACAGCACCTCGGCGTCGTTGGCCAGGAGCCTGCCCGCCAGGTGGATGACCCACTCGTGCTGCTCGTAGGTCTGGGGGCAAGAAGAGGAGGGGTGCTTGGGCCGCGGCCCCTGGGTTGGCACTGGGTGCCCACAGGACCAGGCCACCAGCCTGAGCCCTGTTGTGGGCAGGAACCTCAGGGAGGGCACGCTCTCGGCTCCCTCTCGCCCTCCAGAGGGCCCTGCCCGGCCGGTCGGTCAGTCACTCCCTCAGGCTGCTGTCCTGGGTGTCTCACTGCAGTGAGGTCAGTGGCTGCTTGGGGGCCACACCCCATTGCTTTGGGTTAGGTTCCCCCAGAGGGGCTGCCAGCTTCTGTTATCACCCGTCAGCCCGATGGGTGTGAGCTGTTCTGTCGTGTGCCGGGTCCCCCGCCCTGTCCTGCCCTTGGGTACCTCGGATGCAGCAGGCACAGGGCCCAGCCAGGCCAGCTCACCTCTGAGCTTAGCCACCTGGGAGCCCTCCTGAGGCTGTCACCTGGGAGATGGGTCAGCAGATGCGGCACCTCCGGGCTCTCTGGCCTGAGCTAATGTCTGTCGTGACTTTTGTGGTGAAGGCGCTGAGAAGCTGGCTGTGGCGCCTGGTCCTTGTGCGAGGGCATCTGAGAGAGGCCCTGGGGACCCTGCCTGAGGGGACCCATGTGCAGAGGCAGAGCCTGCGGGTGCAGCAGCGCTCAGGAGAGGCCGGGAGGATGCCTGGCCTCTGACCCCCACACAGCCGGATGTGAGCCTGGGTGCCAGCTGCTCAGGGGAAGACCCTGCCCCAGGAGGGTGGGAGCCGGGAGAGTGTCGTGTATGCTACTCCCTGGCCTCAGACGCAGCCCCGATCTCAGGCCTGACAGTGCGGTGAGCCCTGCCTCTCGGCCTGGGGCAAGAGTGGATGAAGCTGCTCCATAGCTGATGCCCCCACCAGGAATCCAGCCTGACCTCCATGTCCTCAAGGGCCCAGGTGGGTCGTGTGAGGCTGGTCAGAGTCGGGGCTGCATGGGCACCCAGGGCTGAGTGTGAGTGGCTTATGACACTGTTTCCGGCGGGGTCTGACAGCACCCCACCTGCCCTGGAGGGGCCCCAGTGTACCCACTGAGGGCCCAGCCTGCTGACACCTCCGTTACAGCCTCAGACTCTACTGGAGGGACCGTAGCCTTGGGGATGCTGGAGTGGCTGGAGCCTGAGTCCACAGTGAGCATGGGACATGGGGTTCAGGGAGATGGCGGAGCGGGAGAAGAGGGCCTTACCTGGAAGGCTGCGAACCACATGAGCCAGTCGAGGCGGTGGTGGTAGGGGGAGATGAGGCATGGCCGTCTCCTCAGGTCACCCGGCTTGCACTTGAACTCGTAGTCCTCCCACACAGCGTCTGGAGCGCTGGCGTTGGGGCTGGCCGTGCCCTGCAGGATGACTTCTGTTCGCTCCCTGGTGATGCTGTCGGGGAGACCAAGTCAGGGCGGGCTGGGCTCTGTGCAGTTGCAGGCGGTGGCTGCCTCTCCGCCCAGAGCAGACCAGGTGGGGCTGGAGCTGTGGCTGTGGACGGAGCAGGAGCAGGTGGGGGCTGGCCTCGGGGGAGGGAGAGCAGACCCCTCAACCCCACCCTGGCCAAGAGTGCCCACCTGGCTGGTCAGGGCAGGGCCTCCCTGGGGTCTCCATGTGGTGGATGGAGAGCAGAGACCACACCCAGGCCAGAGAGGCAGCCGAGACGGGACCCCTGGCAATCACAGTACCTTCCAAAGGCTCCGTATGTGTTGACGATTCTGAGGGGGTTGAAGGAGGTGTTCATGACCTGCTTGGGGCTCAGCAAGTTAATGACCACAGGGATGCTGAGCCAGGCGAGCAGGACACCCAGGGCCAGGTTGGCTGCCTGCCGCACCATGCAGCCTGGGCGCAGAGAGAGGGGGGCAGTAGGTAAGCTTCCGCCCCCTGGGCCGGGGCCCCAACCACGGGGAGGAAATGAGGCTGTCCCATGCCCCGTCAGTGGGCCCTCCAGACCCTGGCCTCTGCCTGGCCCCTCTGAGCTCACGGCTGAGGGTGGTGCCGCTGGCCCCGACTGGGAGTCTGCCCACAGCTCCCATCTCCCCCAGCCAAGGACACTTTCTGAGGCTGATGTGGAAACTGAGTCATGACAACTGCCCTTATGGGGTGGGCCTGGCTATCGCTCAGTAAGAATGGGCCAGCACTTCTGGGGACCAGCTATCCTGGGTCAGGAGTAAAAGTCTCTGTCCATGTCCCCAGGTGTCCACCCACCGTATGTCGGCGTAGGCCGGGCCTCCCGGGCTTCCTCCTCCTGCATCTTTAGGACTTGGTCCTTGAGGCTGCCAGGCCCGGAGGAAAATAAGAACCCCACGGTGGCGTCATCGAAGCAGGCGATGCTGGGCACGATGGTCAGCCAGTTCAGGAAGCTCAGGTTCCCGCTGACAATGAGGACCACCTGAGGGACGGAGCAGTGTGAGCGAGACCGAGGACAGCTGCCTGCCCCAAACTCGGGGCTTGGTGTGCTTGTGCTGGTGGCAGCCTACATGTCCCCTCCAGCTGCCTGTGCTCCACCTACTCCACCAGGACCCAGCCACTCACAAGAGTCCCGGCAACCCAGAGGTGTGGGGTGGAGGAATTCCGGTTTCTTCCCGGAAGCACACGCGGGTGCCTGTGCTATTTCCCAGGAGACCAACATGGCAGGCGACCATGGTCCTGGCCCTGCTCCCCCCCAACAGGTTGCACACCTGGCCTCCCTAGACCTCTGGCCCAAGGATGACCATGCCCCAAATGACCCTGAAGGCAGACTCTTCCCAGCGCCCTCTGTAGGAGTGAGGGCCCAGTCTGCTGACACCTCTATGCTGCCTCTGAAACTATTTGAGGCCATAGCCAAGGCTGCCCAGATTTCTGACCTCCAGAACTGCACAGTCACACGTGTACTGTTTGATGCTGTGGTCTGTGTTTGGTGCAGTTGTTACGGTGATTATTAATCAACTAGAGGCCTGGTGCATGAAATTCATGCACGGGAATGTGTGTATGTCCCTCAGCCCAGCCTGCACCCTCTCCAATCTGGGACCCCTTGAGAGATGTCCAACTGCCTGTTTAGGCCTGATCTCACCTGTCTGCCTTCTGATTGCCCCTAACTGCTTCTGCCTGCCAGCCTGATCATCCCCTAACCATGCTCCTGACAGCCTGATAGATGCCTAACTGCTCCCCTGCCAGCCTGATTGCCCCTAACTGCCCTCCCCTGCCAGCCTGGTCACCCTTAACTGCCCTCCCCTGCCAGCCTAGTTGCCCCCAACCGTTCTCCCCTGTAGGCCTGTTTCCCCCGCAACTGCCCTTTCCTGCAGGCCTGATTGCCCTCAACTGACCTCCCTTGCAGGCCTTGTCCCTCCCAACTGTCCTCCCCTGATGGGCATCTTGTGGCAGCCATCTTGTGCCCACATGGGGGCAGCCATATTGTGTGTGGGAATGACAATCCATTTGCATATTATTCTTTTATTAGATAGGATAGAGGCCTAGTGCATGGGTGGGGGCTGGCTGGTTTGCCCTGAAGGGTGTCCATGATCAGGGTGGGGGTTCCCTTGGGGATTGGGGTGGCCTGGGAAAGGGGCCTGTGGTGGTTTGCAGGCCAGCCACGACCACCAGGAACCAAAGCGGAGGCCCAGGTGTCTGGGATTTATTTATCTTATAATTGAAACTTTGTAGCCTTGAGTGGAGGCCAGGGTGGGGGAAACTTGACTTCCTCCATCACCGGGGGCAACCCAAGCCTCCAGCTGGCTCCAGCTCTGTGGCTGTGGCCATCTTTGTTGGGATTTATTTATCTTCTATAATTGAAACTTCTATAATTGAGTGGAGGCCAGGGCAGGCCACAGTGGGGGAAGGTTGGCTCTCTTCATCGCCGGGGGCAATCCAAGCCTCCTGCTTGCTCAAGCTCCGTGGCTGTTTGGCCAGGTTACTTTGCATACTAGCTCCTGATTGGCTGGTGGGCATTGCTAGTGAGTGTAGCAGAGGTACGGTCAATTTGCATGTTTCTCTTTTATTAGATAGGATATAGGCCCAGGGTAGGGTCCTACAGCCTGGGCTCCTTTCCAGGGAGGGGCTCTGATGTCAGGACTGTGCCTGGGTCTTGTGAGAGGTAGGTGGGGTTCACTGCTCTCTCTATCAGGGATGGGGGAGATGGGGATGCACGTGCCTGGGCACCCTGGGATGGGTATAACAGGTTCTTAGGGGGCTGTGTGTTGAGCTACCTTTGGACACGGCTTAGATGAAGCCCAACTTCCTGTACTTTCTCAGTGGCCACAGGAACAGGGCCAAGGCTGGGTTGTCTGCTGGGCAGCCGTCTGAGAGGCTGGTCACTGCTCCTCCTCAGAGGCCTCGAGCTGCCCAGGTGCTTCTGATGCCAGGCCCATGGTGACCCTGGATGATGCTCGGTGAGAAACTGGCATGTCCCCTAAATCCCACTGAAATGGTGACCAGGGAGGAGAGGCTGCTCTGTGTCCCAGATCCGCTGGGTTCATCTCTGGCATGGCACCAACTCAGTGATCCAGAGGCTTTCCGATCAGAACCACCCCCAATCGCCTGAGGCTTCTGTCCACGAACTAAGGCCATGAATGGATGAGGTACTGACAGCAAGGGGATTTCCCACGCCCAGCTGTCGCAGGGCCACATCCTGGAGCCGCCTGCCAGCCAGAACTCCCGGAAGTTCCTTCTCAAGGGCACTCCTGAAGAGAGCACCTTTGTGTGCCCTGTTGCTGGGTGGTTGGTAGCACAGAGTGTGAATGGTCTTCCCTTGAGGGGAGGCCTCAGGGCATCCCACACCCCTCAGAGGACATCTGCGGGTGTCTTCCTGTCCAAGTCTACACGAATATTTACGCAGAGGTGTTGACAAGTTTGGGGTCATGTGGCAGTCTGACGCCGAGTCCTGCCCTGGGCCTGTGACAGAAGCTGGCTGATCTTACCTGCTGTTTCCTGTTGGCAGCGACCTTGAGAGTCTCTGTCTGTGCTCGCTGGACTTCACATGTTCTCTGTGAAGTGCTTGTTCAAGTTTCTCCCCATTTAAAACATAAACAGCTGGCCGATGCCTTGGGTTGTGGAAGCCCTCTGTCCCATATGCCTATGCTGTGATGTTTCTGCCAGCTGGTGTGGCCTGCCCTTTTATTTTGGTTATGGTATCTTTGGAAGAGGTTGAAGTTTTACTTTTTTGTGAAGTCCAAGTTATCAATTTTTAAAAAAGTTTACAATTAGTGCTTTTGTGTCCCATCTAAGAAATCTTTTCCCCAAGGTTATAAAGGTCTTCTAAAAGGTTTGCAAGTAGAGCTCTGACCTATAAAAAAACCACCTCACCCGAGGATATGTTTGATTTGAGAGAGAGGAAGGGAGAGAGAACATAGCCTGGTTGTCTCCGCACAGGCCCCGGCCAGGACTTGCACACACAACCTTTCAGTGCATGAGAACATGCCAACCAGTGGAGCCACCCGGCCAGGCTGGAACTCCGATCCATTTGTTAGTTTTCCACGTGTGGTGTGAGGTGAAGTTCAGAACTCTCCTCTCCTTGTGGAAACTCAGTGTGATTCAACCCTACCAGCTCCCTTGCAGGCCCAGGAACCAGCCCAGGAGGAGGGAGAGGATGAGGGCGAGCGGCGGCCATGCCTACAGCGCGAGTCCCAAGTCCTAGGAAGAGCAGGAAGGTGGCCACACCTTCCAGGAGATGCAGGGAGTGGGAGCAACCAGGACGGATCAGGAGTCCAGGGTGACTGGGCAAAGGAGGGGGCAGAGCCAGGGGTGCTGGGAGGTGAGGGGGTGGACCGTCCGCGGTGGACACACAATGCCTGCAGGGAGATGAGCTGCCCCGGCCTCAGAAAAGAGGAAACAAGAGCCTGGAGCTGGAGGAGCCGCCCCCGTAGGCCAGCAACACACACGAAACAAAGGAGACAGAAGCGGCACCGAACGAGGACGGGCGTGGGTCACGTGAGGGAAGTGGCCAGAAGGACACACTTCAGAAGGGGCTTTGAGAAAAAGAAGGGGCTTTGAGAAAAAGAAGAAACAAGAACAAATAAACGGAATTTCATGAAGTTCAACGTGTAAATATCCTCATACCTACACAAGCGAACACATTTTGAAAGAAACAAGACGGTAACAGTCACTAAGCAGACAGACACCGCCTCCCACCAGGTGACGTGACAGGTGTGTGTGAATCCCGGAGAGCAGCCAGCGGGTCTGTGCTGTTACTGCGGAAACGCGGAGAGGGAGCAGCACAGAAAGAGGGGAGGTGACGGGCGCGGGGGTGACGGCTGCCCACCTGCCCCAAGGGCACTCCTCCTCGGAGGGCAGCAGGGACTGTCATCTCTGTGTGGCCCAGCCCCAGTCGCCCTTCTCCATGGCCGATGCCCCGCCCCTCACTTCCTGCATGGTGCTGAAAGCTGGTCTTGATCCCAGCAGTCTGGAGGAACACGAGGTCACAGACGATGGCCTAATGAGGGGCTGCGGAGGAGCCAGGCTTTCGATGGGTCTTGTCAGTTTTATGGATCACGATGGAGTTTTATGATGTGTGACACGAGACTGGATTCACAGCTCTCCCTGCATTAATCTGGAAAACTAGTTTTCCTGGCTCTGGGCCCCCAACATTATTTCTTATTCTTCGCTGCCCATATTAACAAGCCCCATGCCAAAACACGGCCGCCCCTGTACCTGCCCGGGGCCGGCGAGCTTCTTCCTGTGTCTGTGGAGTGCCACAGGCTCCCGACAGCTTGGGCATTGGGCGCCTGTACGGTGGCTATTGCAGGAACCGTGCAGGTGGCAGGTGGGGTCAGAGCCCGTACCCCAGCCCCCTCTTCCACCCCGGGACAAGGTGTGGGGCTGGGACCGAGCCCTTCGGCCACTCCAGCGCCAGCCTCTTTCACATCCCCTTGTGGTTGGTCTCTAAGCCAACCTCGCCCAGGAGGGGAGAGCACACCTCTCACTGTCCCTCCTCCTATGAGTCCGACCTCAGTTTTTATCCCCACAGACCTCTCCCAGCTGTGCTGGCGACTTGCAGGGACGATGTCACAGACGTTCCCCTCTCTGGCATTTTGGCTGCTCAGGAGCTGGTTGCCCTGCACTTTCTGGTAAATGCCTCACGCTGTCGGGCGTGGCTCAGTGGCTCAGTGGACAGCGTGGCTGCAGCACTGGAGTCCTGTCTCTGGCTCAGCCATGTGGCTAAGGCCACTGTGCCTTAGGACAGGACAGGACAGCCGCCACCCTGAGGGGCTGCTGTCTGGGGCGCGTGCTGAGAAAGCAGTGACGGTCCTTCCCTGCTCAGCTCACAGCTTAGATGGCTGCCAAAGCCAAGGAGCCCAGAGCATGGCTTCCCTTCCACTAGAAATGCTCCACAGCTGCCCTCAGCCTCAGCGAAGGTGCTGCAGGAGGGAGATGGAGGGCGGACAACCAGCTCCTGCCCCTGGTGCCCACAGGCCTCAG